CTTAATTCATGTGGTGTGTCATCTTTTATAATCCGTGTTCCCATGTGGGGCAAACCATTCGTACTAGTTGCATACAATAAAGTAATTGAACCTTTCACATTAAACTGTGTGGTAAAATCAGACAATATCTATCAGGAGTTCAAGATACTTTCAATAAAAAGTAAGTTATATAGCAGGTGTAAACCTACTATAGTTTGCTTTTGTGGACTTAAATGTCTGTTTCTTCACTTACCTTAAATGGGTTCAATTTGGTTACATTTGTGTAGCTGGAAGAAATTCTTAGGCAGTTTCTGTCCTAGTTTTGCAGACACAACCAGAGGGTACTGATTGCTAGGCTTCTGCCCCTTCTAATTAACATTTCTATGGTTAACTGGAACCAGTGCCTCAGTTCTTAACACAAAACTGTATTGCTGGTGTTTGTGGCCTCCCTAATATGCTATCAAAATTTTTGACTGAGATGGGTCACAAATTAAAATTTTTTTTCTTTCCTATTGCGCCCCCTTTTTCCCTTTTCCTAGTTAACTCACATGTTATTTTCTTATATTCTCTTCACATTTTCTGTGAGCTGTTCTGGCTCAGGTAATCACTTGACAGTAACTTGCTTTTTCACTTATCATTTGTACCAAATTCACCTTACCTAATAAAGTCCCTATGTTGTTCCACATTAAAAAAAAAAAAGAAATTAAGAAATAAATGTAGCAAAGCTGCAGGGTACAAAACACACAAAAAAACAGTTGTGTTCTATAGTGACTGACTATTCAAAAAGTAAATTTAAAAAATCACATTTACAATAGCATCACAAAGAATAAAATTCTTAGAATTAAATTTAACCAAAGAAGTGAAAGACTTGTGCACGGAGAATTACAAACATTGCTGAAGGAAATGAATGAACACAAATAAGTAAAATGTATCCATGTTCATGGGTAGGAAGACAATACTGGTAAAATGTCTATAACACCTAAAGCAATTTACAGATTCAATGCAATCTATATCAAAATCCCAGTGGCATATTTTGCAGGAATCTTTTAAATCCTAAAATTTATATGGAATCTCAAAATAGCCCAAATAGTAAAAACAATCTTGAGAAAGAAAAAGCTGTAGACATCTCACTTCCTGGCTTCAAATCCAAGCTACAGTAATCAAAAATGTGGGTTCTGACATAAAAATGGAAATAATAATGGAACAGAATAGAGAGGCCAGAAGTAAACCCTCAAGTATCTAGTCAAGTGATCTTCAACAAAGCTACACAATGGAGAAAGAATAGCCTCTTCTGAAAGTAGTAGTATAGCAGGGCATATAATCCCAGGTAGTTGGGAGGCTGAGGTTGTTGCTTGAGCCTAGCAGTTTGAGGCCAGCCTGGACAACACAAAGAACATCCACTATCAAAACCACACAAAACAAACATGTTGGTAAAACCAGATATCCACATGCACAAAAATGAAGTTAGATCCTTATGTGTCTACATCTACAAAAATGAACTCAAAACAATTGGAAGTCTAAAGCATTAAACCTGAAACTATAAAACTCCTACATGAAAATCAGGTAAGCTTCATGACATTGAATTTGGCAGTGTTTTCTTAGAAATGACACCCAAAGCACAACAACAGCAAAAATGAAAAATAGTTAAATGGGACTATATCAAACTTCAAAACTGCACAGCAATGGACACAATCAACAGAACTGAAAAGTAATCTATGAAATGAGAGAAAATATTTGCAACCATAGATGTGATGAGGTTAATATCAAGAATACAGAGAACTCTACAATCAACAAAAATATGATAACAGTTCAAAATGGACAAAAGACTTGAGCAGACTTCAATGAAATCAGGCATGGTGGTGCGTGCCTGTAATCTCTGCACTTGAGAGTTTTAAGCAGAAATATGAGTTTGAGGTCAGCATGGGCTGCATAGTGACCCTGTCTCCAAAACCAACAAAATCAAACAGTGTTGGTGGTATTTCTCAGTTGAAGTGTTTGTCTAGCATATGCAATGCCCTGGGTTTGATCCCCAGTATAAATTAGATGATAGATAGACAGAGAGACAGATAGACACAAACCTGGAAAACAACAAGTATTGGTGAGGATATGGAAAAACTGGAAACCTGTGTACTGCCTTACATTTGCTAGGCAAGCACCTTATCACCTGAGCCACTCCACCAGCTCTTTTTTACATTGGGTATTTTTGAGATAGGGTCTCACGAATAATTTGCTCGGGGCTGGCTTTGAACCACAGCATCAAGTTTTTGTGCACTGTTGATGAGACAACAAAATGGTGAAGTGACTATGAAAAACAACATGCATGGAGATTCCTTTAAAACTTAACAGTAAAATTACCATATAATACCATTTCTAAGCATATATCCAAAAGAATGGAAAACTGGATCTCAGATATTTGTGCACCCATGTTCACTGCAGCAGCACTATTCACAATAGCCACAATTTAATAGAAATTTAAACAGGAACAATTTAATTGTCCATGAATCAAGAAAAGGTGGTAACTGGGCGTGGTGGTAAACACCTGTAATCCCAGCACTCAGGAGGCTAAGGCAAGAGGATCAAAAGGTCAAGGCTGTCCTAGGGTACAGAGTGGGATCCTGTTTCAATAAACCAAAAATAAAAGGTATAAACTTAAAATGGAAAGTTGTTTAGCCTTTCAAAAGAAGATCCTGCCCTATACTACGACACTGGCAAAGATTGTGGATGTTGTGCTAAGTGAAATAAGTCAAGTCAGAAAAAGACAAATTCACCATTGCATGATCTCACCTACAGGAGATACCCAAAGTAGTCAAACTCTTGAAGACAAAAATGGGATTTGTGATTGTCAGAGGCTGAGGGGAAGGAGAAAACGGAGTTGTGTCATGGGCATTGAGTGTCCCTTTTGCGAGATGAATAAATTCTAGAGATCTACTGTGCAATAACATGCATGTGCGTAACATTGCTGGGCACTTAAAAATGCTGATGGCTGGAAGACAGCTCAGTGGTAGAGCGCTCTCTTACAATTCATGGGCTCTGGATTAGAGCAACAACAAAAAGCAAAGACGATCAAGGCAAAGATGGTAAATCTTACATTCTGTGTTTTTTTACAACACACACATATACTCCAGGAGCCGAATTGTTCATCTCAAAACTGTTAAGGGAGAGAATCAAGCACCATCTTGCCTTTTGTATATGAACTGTATCTCGGGAATCAAATAGTTGGGGGGAGTTATCTCTTGATAGAAGAATTGTGGTTAAAAAACGAAGAAGGAATGTTAATGTTTAGGCAGCACTCAGCTAAAATCACACTCACACACACACACACAAAATGAAATAAGCAGACAGCATTTGCTTCCTGAAGGAAGGTTAGCATTTCCTCTGAAGTGTACTCAACAAAACTCCAAGGCTGAGGGTGTAGCTCAGGGGCAGAGAATGTGCTTAGCGTGTGTGAGACACTGGGTTCAATCCCCAGTTCTGGAAGGAAAAAAGAAAGATAGTGAAATCCAGTCAAACACCTCAGTCTAAGCATTAATATACAGGAAATACAAGGGATAGGGCAAAACTGACATCCAAAAATAGAAACAGCCAATTTCTTTAGCAAACAAACTGGAAGACCAAAAACCTAGGAGAAACCACAGAGTTAAAGAAATTTAAGGCTGGTGCTGGTTGTTGGCTTACACCTATAATCCTAGGTACTTGGAAGGCTGAGTTTGGGAGGATCACATGAGAACACATCTCCAAAATAACCAGAGCAAAATGGACTGAAAGTGTGACTCAAACTGTAGAACCCTGCTTTACAGCATGAAGCCCTAAGTTCCTCTCCCCTCCCCGCAGAAAAAAAAAAAAGAGACTTAAAATCAACCAGTTACAATGTATGGATCTTATTTGGACAAACTGTTAAAAATAAGAAAAAGACTACTGGGAAAATTTGAAGCTTCCTCAGGGGTCATTTAATGATGCTAAGGAATTAACTTTTTGATGTGAGATAATGGTGATGTGGTTACATTTTCAAAGAGCTCTTAGACCATAAATTGAACTATTTCAGGTAGAATTTTTAAAAGAAAAAAAAACAAGTGCATGTGGGTCACAATATGAACTCAAATACGGCATGATTCTCACCAATTAAAAGTCTATGAAAAGAAAATTTGTTCCTAATGTTTGGAAGTTTCTTGTATGGGGGTTGAAGTCTTCTCTAACCGTCTAGTACTTCTGTACTTGCAGAACAGAATGTACATATATTTTACAAACCTTGACATTTTAAAGAATAATATGGTAGGCAAGAGTCTGAAAGAGGAAAGGGTAAGAAGGGGTGAGAAAACCATCATGTGCTCAATTCTCTTCTCAAATTGGGAACCAAGACAGACAGTCCCAAAGTGATGGACCAAAGAATATGGTTTTTTTTTTTTTAATGCTGTTTAGATAACTGGTAGAAGATTTAAAATAATGTATGTTTAATATCCTTTAAATTTCTTGCATGAATTACTTTTCTAATAATAAATTTCAAAATGCATGAATTCAATTTTAACTTAGCAATTAAAACATCAAATCTTAAACTTTTCTATCTCCTCTCCCCTACCAATATAACCCCAATATCCATACTCAATATTAGATACACTTAATATCTAATGTATAATACCAATATATGATCAATAAAGAATTCTTTAGTGCTATTATAGCAAGATCGAGGCCCTGAGTTCAAATTCCCCAGTACCTCCCCCCAAAAAAGCGGGGGAGGGATTGGAAATAGTCATTTTCAGACGAAGACACTGAAGTTTCTAGAGGAGAAACCTCATCTGGGGAAGCCTTGTTTAGGTGAGATTTCTGTTGCAAGCCTGCCTTCTAGATTCAAACTCCGAAAACACTGAAATGTAGGGAGCCTTTGCTTGCGAGGGAACCCAGTGAACGGCTCCTGCTTTGGACGCGTGGACTCCACGGCGCATTCGCAGAGCGAAGTGGGAACCTTGCGCGCGTCGGATCCCTGAAGCCGGGTGGCCGCTTCCGCCCGGTTGGCTTTGCACGGCGCACCCGATGGGCGGGGCCTGCAGGACAAAATGGAGCTGCTGGGCGTCCTGAAGCGCGGGCTGCAGCAGTTCAGAGGCCACGGCGGCCTTCTGGGCTATCTACGAGTCTTCTTCAGGTAGGTGTCCAGAGCTCTGCTCTTGGTCTCTGGAGCTGGACTAGCGCAGGCTGGTTACTTGGAAAGGGGCCCAGGCTTGGATCACCTTGGAGAATCCACATTTGTTGTCAAGGACAACCGGCCCATGTCTGCCTTGCAATTCCCGGGCGTCCTCGGGACAGGACGGAGATGGAGCTATGTAGAGATGGAGCTGTGACACCCAGGCAAGGGCAGCTGCACCCCGGCCCCGCGCCCTGGAATGTAATGAGCATTCCCAGCCATTCACTCGGTGACCTTGGGAAAGTTTCCCGCTCCGCCCTCAGTTCCCTCTGTATGGTGAGCCGTGGGAAGAGGTGGGCATGGCGGTCGGCGCCAGTCCTCACCTCTCGCGCAGCCTCAGCGTCCGCGGAAAACCAGTTGCAGACCCGGAGTGGAACCAAAGCTGACTGCCTTGGAGGTTTTGCTAACGCCAGTGCCTCTAGGCGTAGGGAGGGTAGATATAAGTCGTCCTGTACTTTGAAGACATTGCATTTATGTCTTCAGTGGTTTTTAAGCACATTGATTTAATGACATTTGTGTCATTTTATCTTTTCCCATCCTATCTGTGTGATACTGCGGGCAGCATGAACAGGGATCACAGAACCCTTAACCTGAACGCTTGCAGGTGAAGAAGGCCTCCAGCGTACAACCAGTGACCAGTGACCAGCCCACCCCCACCCCCACCCCAGCATCTCGTTTCTGTAGTTGATGCAGCAGCCTGGGTGTCTGCAATTGCCGTTCTCATTTATTTCTGTTTATGTCTTGAACACTGAATCATTCTTAAGTGTCTTTTCTTTTTGGGCATTTACAGGACAAATGATGTGAAGGTTGGTACATTAGTAGGGGAAGACAAATACGGAAACAAATACTATGAGGACAAGAAGCAATTTTTTGGTGAGTGCAGTATTTTTGGTATGAATGATTGGATTGGGGTTGGGCTTTGATCTGAATCTGTTTTCCATTCTACACGAAGGACTTTTACAAAGCACTTAGAAAACTCAATAGGAAAGGGGAAAGGAAAAAAAAAAGCTAAATGGCTAACAAAAATATGAAATACGTGCATCCTAGTTGGTGCAGTGGAGTAGGCCTGTAATCCCAAGATTCCAAAGGGATTATAGGAAGGGTGGAAAGTTCAAGGCTAGCCTGGGCTACATAATGAAACTCAGTCTCAGCCAAAAAAAAAGAAAAGGAAGCTCAGCCTTACCTGTAATTACAGAACTGCAACTTAAACAAAGCAACAAAAAGTGTTATCTTTTTTTCCACCCATCAAATTTTGAAGTATTTTTCAATCCGACAAATCCCAATGTGTAGAAATTCATAAGAATGTATATGTTAATGCAAAAATAGTTTGATAATATTTGTTAAAATTACATTCCATATATCCTTCATTTCCGCATTTCCACTTTTAAGAATTCATCCTACAAATATTCTTGCAAGACAAAGATACCCATTGTGGCACTGTTTTAGTAATAAATTGTAAAAGTAACATTAATGTTACCTCAACTTCAATGGTGATACTGATGAATTTGCACACTTTTTAGAACACTTAGCTGTTAAGAATGATATAAACCCATACATTTTATGTAGAAAGATGTCACAGATGTGTGTAACAAAAAGCTCCAGTTTCAGAACAGTGTTTGATATCCTCGGAGGGAGAAAGCATGCTTTTTGTGAGTATATTAAATTTGGAAGGAAACACAGAAACTTAGAAATAGAATGAGATGATGGGATTCAGCATTCTGTTCTGTTCTTCCACTTTATCTCTTTGTGACCTGGTTAACTAAATTAACTTTTCTGAGCCTCAGTTAGTGTAAGGTTTCTCAGCCTCACTGTTAACATCATGGGCCAGATAGTTCTTTGCTGTGAAGGTCTGTCCTGGTCATTGTAGAATGATCAGGAGCAGTTCTTGACATCTACTCTCTTCATCCCAGTAGCACTTTCCCTCTGCAGGTGTGACAATGAAAAATGTACTCAGACATTGCCAAATGTCTTTTGTGGGACAAAGTTGCCTCTTATTGAGAACTGCTCACTTAATCTTGGCACGTAAGTGCTCAATAAATATCACTGCTATTATTATTACTTACTTGAATTCTTGAATTTTTTTAATCATTATGTTATTTTTATAATGAGAAGATTCTTTCTTGATTGAGACAGAAAGCACTAAAGAGGAAAAAACAATTAGTCTTCATCTGAGTAAAAAATGTCAGGTGAAATAATGGCCAGGCATTTATTGAGGACTTAGCATATGCTAAGTGCTATGCTAAACAAATTAACATAGGTTACCCACTTTAATCTTCAACATATCCTTTAGATTCCACATTCCCTTGCTTTTAGATGAAGAAACTAAGTCATTGAGCAGTTAAGAACATTTCTTAGGAGCCAGGTGCCAGTGGTCTATATGTAAAATTCTAGCTACTCGGGAAACAGAGATAAGGAAGATCATGGTTCAGATCAACCTGGACAAAACTTGGACAAGACCCCATCTCAACAGAAAAAGCTGAGTGTGGTAGTATATGCCAGTCATCCCAGCTACTATGGGAAGCATAAAGAGGAGGATCACAATCCAGGCTAGCCTGGGCAAAAAGCAAAACTCTTTCCAGAGCCAAAAGGTTTAGAGGTGTGGTTCAAGCAGTAGAGCACCTGACTACCAAAGCACAAAGCCTTGAGTTCAAACTCCAGTATCATCCTTGATAAACAAATAAATAAGAGGATTCTCCACTGTGGGAAAGGTCTGTGCCCACCCACAACAGTGAATTATCTCAGTCCCTGGTTCAGGGATCTTGCTATGGGGGCAAACAGGCTGTTGATGAAGTGTGCCACACACTTGCTGGAACTTGCCTTCACTTTTTAATAAGTCTAGGGTGTTATTCTTTTAACAATTCTTATGTACTAGCACATCTAAGTCTTAATAAAAAGGTAGTCATCTTTGCTATTAACTTCTAAAATCTTTCTTTTCTTTTTTTCCCTCACATCTTTCTACCCAGGCCGTCATCGATGGGTTATGTATACTACTGAAATGAATGGGAAAAACACGTTCTGGGATGTGGATGGAAGCATGGTGCCTCCTGAATGGTAAGCTAAGTTAGCATTGTATTTCATTTGACTTGGCAATATTTATCTCATGACACAAGTATTTATTAGATAGCGATCTATTAGGCAGTTAGTGGTGTTTTTCTGAAAGAGACTGCATATCAGTTGCCCTTCAACTCAGAGGCTCAAAACAACAATTATTAATTTCTCAAAGTTTTTGTAGATCAGTAGTTCAGGCAAGACAGCAAAAATGGCTTATCTTTGCTCCTAGATGTCTGGGGCCTCATCTGGGAGACTGGAGTCATCTAAAGATTTGTTCACTTAGCACCTGGCACTTTATGCAGGTTGTCAGTTGGTAGCATAGCTGGGGCTGTGCGTTGGAACACCTTTATGTTGCCTAGACTTCCTCAGGTGAAAGCTTTGAGAGAAAGCAAGCTAGGCTGAAACCATATTGTCTTATCTGACTTAGTCTTAGAAATCATCCAGGGTTACTTCCATATTCCTCTGGTTGAAGCAATTAGAAAGCTCTGCCTAAGTTTGATGGAAGAAAACATAGACTGTATCTTTTCAAGGAGGCATGTCAGTAGCACATTCTTTATTTGGAATATGTAATGGTATAGCTGTCTTCATGCAAAAAAAGTAGTATGCCATCTGTGGCTGTCTGTGGTGAAGGGAAAGACAAAAGGAACTCTGGCTAGCAGTTTGACTAAGCAAGTCCTTTAACTTTTCTGGCGCTTATTTTCCCTATCTGTAAAGCGAGTGCCCTAAAATTCCTTAGGTCTCTAAAAACTTCATGATTTTACAATATGCATATTTTGAAAATAAATTCTAAATGCTCTTACTTAAATTACCACATTTTATATGAAATATTTCAAAGCAGAGTCCTAATATCTCTCAGGTGGCTGCAATAATACCATATGGTTGATACATACAGTTAAACTATCGAGATTCTTTCCAGTAGATCTAGAAAATTTCATGCAAAACTGAAAATAGGGCTGGTGGCATGGCTCACAAACATGAAGCTCTGAATTCAAATCCCAGTGTACCCCCTGCCCCCCCCCAAAAAAAACCCAGAAATATAAGAATTAGGCCAACTGTAGAATTTTATTTTAGAACTTGATCATCAGAAATAATTTGGGGCTCTGTCAAGTAGAAAGTGGGATAATTTTGGAGCAATCTCTTCCATTCTTAACAGCTCACTTGGAAATCCAGGCATGTGACATAAGTGAGTAAAGCATTGTCCATTAGGGTAGCCACTAGTCACATGTGGCCCAGAGAACTTTAAAGTGTGGATAATGCAACTGAGGAAACAGATTTTTTATTTTATTTAAATTAAATAGGCTACTTGATTGAGCAGAACAGTCTGTCAAAGCATGTTTGCAAGGTTTTACATGCAACCAGTTTTTAAACTGATCAAGTACTCGGACTAATTGGGCGTGTTGCTATCCTTATGAAGAATTAGTGGGTTCTTAGTGGGAGAAAGCAGCACCAATCAGAGCAGCCTCATGCTGCTTTTGGGGCTTGATTTTGTGTTGTTTGTAATGGGAAATAATAATTTATAGTTCTCTTAAGGTCTGAGCAGCTGTGACCCTAGGTTCAGAGCTATCAGCCTCTCAAGGTACATTCTTTATGTAAAGAGGACTCTCAAAGTGGAACAGGCTTTAGGAGCAGAGGTGTTCTCTTAGTTGTTTGATGGATCGTTTCTTGGGTGGAGTTGATCCTGGGAGGATCTTATGGCTTGTGGGCTATCTCACTCAGATTGACAGCAGCCTCCTTCAGTACACTCATCCAGCAGTGGTGCTCACAGGCTGCATTTTGGGAGATGGAAGAAGAGAGATGCTGGTTAAAATCATGTGAAATAAAGTCCATTTACAATTACAGTAAAAAACCTGGAAAGGTAAAAATACTGCTAAGCAAAAAAGCCCTTTGATTTGATCCTGTGTGAAATGTGAGATGGGGTCTGGTGGAAAGGAGCTGAGAGCAGTAAAGAACACTCCAGCAGTGCCTGAGGGCAGTTGAAGTTCTTTGTGGAGAGGAGCCTCGAAGAGCTGACTCTTACTTGTTTGGGAAGCTTAAAAGCTTGTGTTGAGTTTTTGTAGGGAGACTTGGTGTTAGACAAGCCCTGCTGTTTTTCAAACCCCACCCCCACCCCACCCCTTTGCTGAGTATGGTGGAATTCTCGATCTGTGGATTCTTACCTTTAATCCATGAGTAAATTTAAAGGTGTGCTCTGACTATCTTTAATTAGAGAGCCAAGTATCATTATATACACAGAATAATGAATAACATGCAACTTAATCATTATTCCTTCAAGTAACTATTAAGTACCTGCCAGGTGCCAAGAACTATTGTAGACACGGGTTACATCAGGTAAAACAAAGTGCTTGCTGTCATGGGAGGAGGCAGAAAAACAGGGATGTTGTATGTTTGAGGTAACCATAAACAGGAAGGTAAAGTGAAGCTGGGATTCATAATGGGATAGAGAATAATGGAGGGTCAGGAGGTTATTTTAATACAGGGGTTAGGGAAGACTTCTTTGAGGAAGTGGCATTGTAGAAAAGACCTGTAAGAGGGAGGTAAGATGTTACGAAATGGAGTAGAAGAAATAACTATGGCCCAGATTATGTTGATGTTGTAAGCCCTGACTAGCACCTTGGTTTTTTTCTAAAATTCTTTGCAAGTCACTCGAAAGTAAGGTAGGATGTGATCTGATATACAAGGTTTTGTTTTGTTTGCAGTGCTGGGGTTTGAACTCAGGGCCTACACCTTAAGCCACTCCACAAGCCCTATTTTTTTTTTAATTCATTTATTCACATGTGCATACATCGTTTGGGTCATTTCTCCCCCCTACCACCCTCCCAACCCTCCCCCCGCTCCGTTCCAGGCCGGTCCTGTTCTGCCCTTATCTCTAATTTTGTTGAAGAAAAGACACAAGCATAATAAGGAAGACAGAACATTTTTGCTAGTCGAGTTAAGGACAGCTATACAGAGAGATTCCTAACATTGCTTTCATGTACCCCGTGTGTTTCGACCCATGTTGATTCATGTCTAACTGATCTTTACACTGGTTACTGATCCACTTCTCATGATAACCTCTGTCGCTTTAAGGTTTCTGTATTAGTTCCTCTGGAATGGGGACATCAAACGCTTTCATGTTTTGGGTTTTCTACCTATTTCCATACCCCCATATGTGCTGTCCCCTTGTCATGAGACCCAAGTCCAACCACATTGTTGCATTTGCCCTAGATCTAAAGTCCGCACATGAGGGAGAACATACGATTTTTGGTCTTCTGAGCCTGGCTGACCTCAATCAGAATGATGTTCTCCAGTTCCATCCATTTACCTGCAAGTGATAAGATTTCATTCTTCTTCATGGCTGAGTAAAATTCCATTGTGTACAAGTACCACATTTTCTTGATCCATACATCAATAGTGGGGCATCCACAACCCCTATTTTTGTGATGGGTTTTTTCGAGATAGGGTCTTGCAAACTCTTTGCCCACACTGGCTTTGAGCTGCAATCTCCCTGATGTCTGACTCCTGATTAACTAGACTCACTGGCTCCCAGCTGACATACAAGTTAAAAAAAAAGTTAGAACAATCCCAGAGCCATAACATTTTCAGAGCCATCACAAGTGTTTGAATCATTTCAAAGCAGATTTCCCAAATGATGTCTCATCACTCCTGAATACTTCAGGGTGTAATTCCTGTAAGCAAGGACATTCTCCTAGATAACCACAATTTAATCATCAGCATCAGGAAATTAACAGTGATGGGATGGGTATGGTGAGTTGTGCCTGTAAGTCCAGCTACTCTGATGGTGAAGGTCAGGAGGATTGTGATTTGAGGCCAGCCCAGGCAAATAGTTAGGAAGACCCCATGTTAGCAAACAAGCTAGGTGTGGTAGAGCATGTCTGTGAATCCCAGGCAGGCGGGAGGCGAATGTAGGAGGTCCGCAGTTTGGTGTTAGCCCAGGACAAAAAAAAAAAAACTAAAAAAACTCAAAACCCTACTTCCAAAATAAGTAAAAAAAAAAAGTGTCGGGGATGTGACCTAAGTGATACAGCACATGCCTAGCAAATGTGAGGCCATGAGTTCAAACCCCAGTATTGCTAAAAATAAAGATAAGTTTATCTGTTTATATCTGTAAATGAAATGACAAAACCTAGATGATAATATGTCTGTTTACTGCATGGTTTACTGAGTGTTTTAAGCCCATCATTGAAATTGCTCAGAAAAAGATTCTTATCAAAATATTGCTCCTCACTGGCAGTGCATCTGTTCACCTCTACTGGAGATGTACAACAAGGTTCTTTTCATGACTGCAGACACAGCCTTTCTGTAGCCTGTGGATCAAGAAGTCATTTTGACTTTCAGATCTTATTATTTAGAAAATAGATTTTGTAAGGCTCTAGCTGCCATAGATGGTGATTCCTCTGATTGAAAACCTTCTGGGAAGGATTTGCCATTCTAGAGGATATTAAGAACATTTATGGTTCATGGAAGGAGGTGAAAGTCTAAAAAGAAACAGGAGTTGGGAGAAGTTGATGCCAGCCTTCATGAATGACTTTGAGTAGAGGATGTAACTGCAGATGTGGCTAAGCCAGCAAGAGAATTGGAATTACAAGCAGAGCCTGAATTATAGCAACTCACGGCAAATGTTAACAAATAGGAATTGCTTCTTATGGATGATGGAAGAAAGTGTCTCTTTTTGTTTTGGGAGCTTTTCTTGGTGGGACTGGAGTTTGACTTTGCACTTGCAAAGCAGGCGTTCTACCACCTGAGTCATACCTTCCATCCATTTTGCTCTGGTTATTTTGGAGATGGGGTCTGGTCAACTATTTGCCTGAGCTGGCCTTAAACCATGATCTTCTCAATCTCAGCCTCCAAAGTAGCTAGGTTTACAGGCATGAGCCACCAATGTTTGGCAGAAAGTGTCTCTTGGGATGGACTCTTCGGATAAAGATGCTGTGGACATTTTTGACATAACAACAGAGGATTTGCAATATTACATCAGCCTAGTTGATAAAGTAGTGGCAGGA